AGTCTTTCAACCTTAGAATCATCATATTGTGTGTATATGAGAATAACCTTTCAACAACACAACAAGTAGATCATAATCATATTCACTTTACTCTCAAAGTGTTCTTAAAGCATATACTAAACTTTCATAATTCATGCATAATATCATAATTTTCCCTTTCAAGGATCAAAGCTCATATTATATCAACACATCTAGAATTCACTACATTAAACATGGATATTAACATAATTCAAATAACCCCAACTACTACAAGCATAATCTCATAGTATCCTTCTTTCATCAACAAACCCACATCACAAAATCGTATTTGGGAATAAGGGGATTTCATGGGTTCTTGGGGAATTCAACATAAAAACCATAATAAATCATCAATTCAATCATAATATAAAATAATTCAAGCATTGGAATCGTTTTTGAAAGGAACCCATGACTTCGGAATCATAATATAAAACATGTTGATGCATTGATCAAGTAAAAATAACATAAAACTGAGATTTACTAATCTGAAATTCATGTATACAAGGTCATGCAATATTTGAAAACATGTTGATTTATGGGAGATACTAAAATTGACATAAACCATATGAGCTACCTCATAGATTATAGTGTACTACTCCCACACCGAAATGAAGTGTCCTAAGGACCATGATATCTGAGCTGAGGTGGATCCACTAGCTAATATCTATTTAAGACAAATTCTACGCTAGCAAGTAGTACAGGGGCGTAGGAGTTGTTACTAAAGGTCCATGTACGCTAAACGGAAACTTTTATTCCAAAAGTCCACTCGGTGCTAAGTATACTCCAAAAGGAAACATGCATAAATCTGAAAACATTAATGATCTAAACTACTAAATTATACTAACAATTTGATAACTTACTGAGTAGCTCATAAATATAATCTGAAAGATACTTTAATCGAAAGCATCTAAATCATGATATTTGTAAATATACTGAGAGATACTTTATTAGACAGCATCATAATTCATGATAATCTGAGACATACATCTAAAAATAACATAATTTTGATCATGAAAATACTTGCATACTATGGGTTCATAGAAATATCATTGAAAACATGGATTATAATCAAAATCATGCAATTCAGATCAATCATGAAGGAGAAACTAAAATTTAATAAGAACCCATGAAGATCACTTAAACCCTAGTCTTGGGGAATTCATAATTTTAGAAATTGAGGTTTTCTTTGGAATCAATGGGTGAAGAGGAATACATTGATGAAGTTCCTACATATCTGAGATAGAAACCCTAGTTTGAATTCATCAATGGAGGCTTGGGTCCTGGAACTCTAGCTTGCTTGAGGGAGAAGACTTGAGAGTGAAGAAATTGATCTTAGGTGAGTTATGAAAGAATGAGGGGTTATGGTCTTTAGAAAATACTTAACACACTTATAATAGGCCAAAATAGCGTAGTTTAGGGGTTAAAAGAGTGGAAAAAGACTAAAAAGTCCCTAATAAAAAACTGTAGGAGATCATCTATGGATGCCCTCCACAGACCGTACAACCATCTACAGGTCGTGAAAGGGTCCGTAGAAGTCAAAGGGATTTTTTTTTGGGTTTTAGAAAATCAACTCTACGGACTAGTCTACAGTCCATATAAAACAGTACGACTCGTACAAGTGTCCATAAAATCTGGGTCACCTGATCTCTGAAGTTTCTTTGTACGGACAGTTCCATGGGCCATAAATGTTTCCACGACCTGTAAAACTCTTCATCATGTTCAAGAAATTTTCCTATGTTTCAAAGTCTGGTCTACGGCTAGCTCTACGATTTGTGAAATCTTATACGAACCGTAAAGCCCCTCGTGAACCTTGGTCCTGAAATCTCAACTTCTGAGGTCCAATCCACTGGTGGCATCTACGGTCCATAAGCATTTGTACATGCCATGAATCCATTCCGTAAAAGTTACTTTTCTGCAGACTTCAGCATATTTCTGCACTATTCTGATCTTATCTGAGCTAGGTACTTATGGGGTATTACATAAGCATATTGGGGAGTCAGAATATGTCAGATAGAACGATCAAGAACCTACGTTCACATACACAGTTTCGAGCATGAATGCCTTGGGATAAGGTTTCACACAACCTTTAAGAAAAAATTAATTAGGATTATAATTTGACTATTATACTCCTTATTAATTTTTTTATCTTTGTCTATTTACATACCTCTTAATTCAAGAATAATTAATGCAAAGGGTAAAATTGAAACTAAATAATTACTTTTCTCTTGATTTTTAAAATTGACAAGTATTTGAGAACAACTATTTTAATATACATGACAACTAAATGGAGGAGGGTGTACTTGTTAAGGTTACTACAAATTTTACAAATTGAAAAACTAACATTAAGTTGTTGCATACAACAACATTATAAGTGAAATCTATTTCAAGAGCGGTAATACGTTCAAGTTTTATCTTTATTCTCGTCTTACAATAGTAATGAAGGTAATTTAGTTAATTATAAGAGATTAAAAGAAAACGAGAAGGGTTAGAATTAGTGGTAAGGAGTGACTCGAAACCTTGATCTCATTCTAATAGCACAATCATTTTTCCACTAATGTGAAACCTTCACATTGTTTTGTAATATACTTCAACCTCAGTTTAGATCGATTTTTCCCGAAAAATAAATAAATAGAAATGATGTGACTAATGAATTTGGATCCAGACCTTAAATGTTTCTTATTTCAATGAAGCTGAATTATGGTTTATTTAATTTGTAACTAAACACTCTGTAAATCATCTCACATTCAGTCTAATCTTTATGTTTAATTATTTTGTAAGATTCATTTGTCTTATCCTCAAAAAGATGAATCATTTTCCTAAAAAAATTTTGAAGCCAGAATCCTTAAATTAGTCTCCTTGATCTTCTATATCAAAATATGATAAATTCATATCTAAAACATAGCCGGCAGATGTGAATTTAATAAGAAATCTTCATAAAACTATAGAAAGTTGCACGATTTTAAGTTCGTTCACTTAGGGAAATAAGAAGAATAAACTTGATTTACATTTAGCTAATAGCTCGATACACAAGAACCACATACAAGCAGGGGCACAAACATATTGTAAAAAACAAAACATAGTGCTAGTCTACTTGGTAGTTGAATGTTGGGAAGATAAACTAGATACTAGGAACATTGGCTGAATGGAAACAGAGTGCCTTTCTTTTTCATCAAACTCCCCACTTAGAAAAAATATTCTTCAATGAATCACTATAACAAAAACAACTTTTAGCGGCTATAAATAGACATATTAATAAAGAGTGTTAAGTCTTTACCGGCATTAATTAAATGTCATTAGATCCAGTGTCGCTAAAGGCTTTAGGGACATTTACAAAGAGTGCTAATTACCGCTAAAAATACATATTTAGGAGAAATTGAGCTATTACCGCTAAAGATCATTTTTGATGTAGTGAATCCTTTGATGAACTCAGAGTGCACATAAATGTCGTTAGAGCTTCAAACACAGAATTTAGATGTTGAGGAAGCCTTTTGAGTTTGGTTGAACCGGAAGCATTGAAATAACCTGACCATGCAATCGGTTCCCTTTTCCTATTATACGAACAATTCTAACCTCTTTCCATGACAACCAATATGATTCATAATGCACCAAACAATATCATAACAAGATGTCATCTGAAGATTCAGAGGCGTATCTAGAGGGGGTGCCGTGGGTTCACGTGAACCCATGCTCCCCTCTCTAGATCATATATAGTAGTGTTATATTTTTTTAAAAATATTTAACTAATACATGTCTGAACCCATGTTCAAAGTATCATATAATAATATGATGATGATTAGGTGCACCTCTCTAACTGAGGATAAAAATTTAAATCTTATATCTATCTTGTCTTTTTGAGTAACACCACTCCAAGTGGTTATCGGTGACACTTTTGACGTTTCAACTAATTTTTCTTTTGTATTTTTGCCTTTTAATCTTTCAAAATTTTCAAGTGTCTTACATTGAAAATTCCTAAAAAATTAAGCACCGTAAATCTTTTATATAATTAAATCAATTGTGTATATTAAAATTTAAAACTAATAGTATTATATATTTTGAATCTATAGTTTTTAAAATTTAATGGTTCATATTTAGAACCTAAAAGTCAAATGATCAAATTTATATTTAAGATACATTTCTTCGTAATCGTGCACCCATTTAACCGAAATCCTAGATACGCCTCTGTGAAGATTTCGACATATACCACACCATATCAACTAGATAACAATTGTCATAAACAACACAAACATTATATAGGACTCCACATTCATAGCAACCATCTCCAAATACAAACACATGCACATAAGCACCATCAAACATATCATCACAGTATTAGACTCTCTCGTTTGTACATACGCTAAGGGTCTTATTTATGTCCAATAGTCATGACATGTAGGGGACCAGCTTTGTCTATGTACCATACCGACGTGGTACCCAATCCTCCAAATATATTCAACCGCTCATCTGAAAGCTCACCTAGGACACGAGCAACTCATCAATTGTAAGGTTATAGTCACCCTTACCTTTATCACACATATAGCTCATTGTATTACAATTCTATGCACACTTGCAATTCTAATAATCCAATAGACCCATGTCAACATTCATACGTACGTTGGGCCTGAGATATTCATTCTCACTTTGGGCCTGAGCTCAGGTTTGAGCTGATATCAAATGGATTAGGCCCAATGTTGAAGATAATATGGAAGCTTAATATTCGTCTTTTCCTTTATTTTATTTTTGCAATTAGTTACACTTCATTCAATTAGAAATGAACAGCTGTATAGTTAGTTATAAAATAGATGCTTTTCATTTTGTATAAATATAGGACCTTGTACAGTGATGGATTCATCGAGAATTAAAGAAAAGGAATTTTATACATCGTGAGCTCTTAATTTTCTCATGGTATCAGAGCAGATTTGATCCTTTCTTCTTCTCCATAGTATTCATTCTTCCATTTTCTTGTTCCTTTCATTTTCTGCATAATGACTGGTGTTCAGATTCCTCTTTCTCAAACTACTGAAAGTTCTGAAGTAGCTGTTGTAAATAATACAGTAGATGCTTCACATGCTTTCTATATCCACCCTTCAGATATCCCAGGCATGAACCTTGTATCTACTGTTTTTGACGGTAGAAGCTATGGTGGCTGGAGAAGGGCTGTGATTATTGCTCTCTCAGCTAAGAACAAACTAGGATTCATTGATGGATCTCTAGAAGTTCCAGCTGATACAGACCTGAAAATGAAAAGAGCTTGGTCAAGATGCAATGATATGGTGTTATCTTGGTTGCTAAATTCTCTTTCAAAAGAAATTGCTGAATCAGTTTTGTACTCTCATAGTGCCAAAGTTTTGTGGTCAGATCTAGAAGATAGGTTTGGTCAAGCAAATGGTGCTAAGTTATTTCAACTTCAAAAAGAACTTAATGCTGTTGTTCAAGGGAATTCCAGCATATCTGCTTATTTTACTAAAATGAAAAGTTTATGGGATGAACTAGATTCTTTAAGCACTTTCTCTGCTTGTTCTTGTACCTGTACCTGTACCTGTGGTGCAAAGAAAAAGGGATTTAAGGCTCATCAAGATGAAAGGCTACTTCAGTTTTTAATGGGTTTGAATGATACTTTCTTAGGTGTTAGAAGCAATATCTTGTTATCTGCACCTTTACCCACTATTGGTCAAGCTTAATCTCTTGTAATTCAGGATAAAAAACAGAGAGAGATCCATGCTGCTCCTGCTTATCCAGGAGATTCAGCATCCTTTCTAGTAGGTAATGTAGGGGAAAGGAGGAACAATGAGTATAAGTCTAATCAAGGAAATTATGCCAAGAAATCTTCATTGGTGTGTAATTATTGTAAGAAAACAGGACATACCATTGACCAATGCTACAAGATCCATGGTTCCCTGTTGATTTTAAGTTTACTAAACCTAAGAGGTACCAAAAGGGACCTGTTGCTGGAAATGTGTTTAGCACAGGGGAAGCATCACAACAAGGAAATTCTGATCATGCAGCCTTGAACAGTCTATCACCAGAAAATGTTAGTCAACTACTAGGACTGCTACAAAAGATGAATCAAAAGGATCAAGCTGAATCATCTGCAAATATGATATCCTCTGGTATAACTAAGTCTCTTGAATCTCATGCTTGTCTACTTAAAATTGATAAATGTTCTTGGATACTAGATAGTGGAGCTTCTGAGCATATTACTTCTGATAGAAGTTTCGTCACTAACATTAATCCTCTTACTGAACCTATAACTGTCACTCTTCCTAATTCTCATAAAGTCAGGGTAACTCATACAGGTTCTGTCCAACTCTTTTCTGATCTTATTTTAGAAAATGTGCTCTATATTCCCTCTTTTAAGTTCAATTTTATATCCGTTCACAAGTTGTGCAGACAACTACAGAAATCCATTCTTTTTACCCCTAATTCTTGTTTGATTTTGCAGGGCCCTTCAGTGAAGAGCCCTCAGGTGTTTGGTAAGGAACAAGAAGGTTTATATATTCTCAAGACCAGTGATCCAGCTGTTGCTACAAACATTCCTACTAGTTCCAAGTTTAATAGTTTCTCTTTTTCTACTTCTCTAGCAGATGTCTTTACTTCTAGTTCCAGCTATTTTGATTCCAATGTAAAAGAAAAGTTGTGGCACTATAGATTAGGCCATATGCCAATGAGTAATATGAAGAAAGTTTTTCCTATTTCTACATCTTGTTCCAAATTTTCTTCTCCTTGTATTATGTGTCCTATGGCTAGACAGTCAAAGTTACCTTTTCCTTCTAGCAATATTTCTACTACCTCTGTTTTTGAGCTAATTCATGTTGACACTTGGGGGCCTTATAAAACTCCTACTCACAATGGTTTTAGATACTTCATTACCATTGTCGATGATTTTAGTAGAGCAACATGGACATATCTTCTTAGCACAAAATCTAATGCTTTTACTATCCTTCAATCTTTCATTCATATGGTGGAAAGGCAATTCAATTCAAAAATAAAAATAATTCGAACTGATAATGCTTTTGAATTGGGTAGTGGTAAATTACAAACTGATTTTTTCATTTCCAAGGGAATTGTCCATCAAACTACTTGTGTCCACACTCCTCAACAAAATGGGATTGTAGAAAGAAAACACAAACATTTGTAAGAAACCTCAAGAGCCCTTTTATATCAGTCTCATCTTCCTATTAGCTATTGGGGTGAATGCTTACTAACAACAACTTATCTCATCAACAAATTTCCCTCTAGTGTTTTACATTTCGAAACACCTTTTGAAATCTTGTTTAAAACTAAACCTATTTACTCTCACTTAAAATGCTTTGGATGTCTTTGTTTTGTGTCTACTTTACCTATTCACAGAAGTAAGTTTGATCCAAAAGCTTGTCCTTGTGTTTTTATAGGATATCCTTATGGGAAAAAGGGATACAAGGTCATGAATCTTCAAACTAAGAAAATATCAGTCTCAAGGGATGTAGTTTTTCATGAAGAGTATTTTCCCTTTTCTAAATATGTGTCTTCTACCAGTTATTTCCCTTCTAATCCTTTACCTAATTTGTTTGTTACCTTTCCTTTCACTACAAATTCTCCTGTTAATCCTTGTTCAGATATTACTGATAATGTTATACTTTCTGATCATAGTTGTGATCCTACTGAGGATGTGTCTCTTGATCCTCCTATTTCTGATTCCCAGAATTTCTCATCTGATAATTCTTCTATTATTTCTACTCCTTCACCTATTGTTGAGACTATTCTAAGGAAATCCACTAGGAACCATAAGAAGCCTGCTTATTTAGAATCATATGTCTGCAATGCTCTGCATTTTACGAATGTTTCTTCTAGCTGTTTCTTGAGTCCTGTTACTCCTGAGCACTTATCTTTTAGTGATTTGTCTTCTACCAATCAAATTATGCTCAATTCCATTTCTAGTATACAAGAACCTATCAATTATATGCAGGCTGCACATCATCTTGGTTGGCAAAAGGCAATGGACAATGAACTTTCAGCTTTGGAGCTTAACAAAACTTGGGATATTGTTGTCTTACCCAATGGTAAAAGGGCTTTACCTTCTAAATGGGTTTTTAAAGTAAAACAACATGTTGATGGCAGTATAGAAAGACTAAAGGCTAGATTGGTGATCAGAGGAGATGTTCAAAAGGAAGGGATGGATTATAATGAAACCTTTTCACCTGTGGTCAAGATGACTACTATCAGGTGTCTTTTAGCTACAGCAGTTAAGCATGGTTGGGGTATTTTCCAATTAGATGTTAACAATGCATTTCTACATGGTGATTTAAATGAAGAGGTGTTTATGAAGTTTCCTCCAGGTGTTTCACCTCCTACTTCTGACCATGTCTGTCTGCGTAAGAAGTCCATTTATGGACTTAAACAAGCATCCAGACAATGGTATGCTAAGTTGACTGCTGCTATTAATTTCAAAGGTTTTAGTCATTCTTTGAATGATTATTCACTCTTCTTTAAAAAATCAGGGAATTCTATCTCTATTGTTGCTGTTTATGTGGATGATATCCTTTTGACAGGAAATAATGAAGCAGAATTACACTGTTTAAAGAGTTTCTTAGATACATAATTCAAGATTAAGGATCTTAGTCCCTTACATTTTTTTCTTGGAATGGAGGTTGTTCGAGAACCTCAAGGTTTGATTATTTCACAGAGGAAGTTCACCTTGGATCTTTTGAGAGAATTTGATTCTCTACATCTACGTCCTGTTTCTTGTCCATTAGATCCGACTATCAAGTTATTGGCTAATCATGGCGAGCCTATCACAGGTCCAACTTTCTATCGACATTTATTGGGTAAATTGAACTACCTGACTAATACGAGGCCTGATCTTTCCTTCACTGTGCAGCACCTAAGTCATTACATGCAGGACCTTCGTCAGCCACACCTAACTACTGCTTTGAGGGTGCTGCGTTATTTGCTCCATGATCTAGGTCTTGGTCTATTTTTCTCATCATCTTCCTCCTTCAAGCTGATAGCTTTTTGTGATTCCGACTAGGGTACCTGTCCAGATTCACACAGATCAGTTAGTGGCTACTATATTTCTTTTGGAACTTCTCATATTTCTTGGAAATCGAAGAAACAATCTTCCATTTCCCTTAGTTCTGCTGAAGCTGAATATCGCTCAATGAGAAGGGTTGTTGCTGAACTCACCTGGTTAGTTCGTCTGTTCAAAGACCTCTCTGTACCTGTGCCTCTTCCGGTACCACTTCATTCGGATAGCCTTGCAGCTATACACATCGCGAAGAATTCGGTATTCCATGAACGGACGAAGCACGTCGAACTTGATTGTCACTTCGTCCGTCAACAATACCTAGCCTGACTCATCTCCTTGTCGTATGTTCGATCTACTTCACAACTAGCCGACATTTTTACGAAATCTCTTACTGGACCTGTTCATGATACTCTTCTTGGCAAGTTGGGTGTTTCTAATAGCCCTCCAACTTGAGGTAGGGTGTCAACATTCATACGTACGTTGGGCCTGAGATATTCATTCTCACTTTGGGCCTGAGCTCAGGTTTGAGCTGATATCAAATGGATTAGGCCCAATGTTGAAGATAATATGGAAGCTTAATATTCGTCTTTTCCTTTATTTTATTTTTGCAATTAGTTACACTTCATTCAATTAGAAATGAACAGCTGTATAGTTAGTTACATAATAGATGCTTTTCATTTTGTATAAATATAGGACCTTGTACAGTGATGGATTCATCGAGAATTAAAGAAAAGGAATTTTATACATTGTGAGCTCTTAATTTTCTCAACCCATCAATCAATAATTCATGGGATCTCAAGCATCAACAACCACGTCACCAATTATAAGTACGCTCAAAGACCAATCAAAAAATATTTAACTTAAGTGCATACATTAGGGGTGCGCATTGGTCGGTTCGGTTCGGTTTTAGGTGTTATTGGTTCGGTTTATCGGTTTTCGGTTTGTAAATACTTCAAACCGATAACCAAACCAATAACATATTTCTTATCGATTTTTGGTTAATCGGTTTATGGTACTTAACGGTTCAGTTTTCGCTTTAACCAATAAGAAAATACTCATATATATTATATACACGATAAGAAAATTTTCAAATAAACCATATGATTTTTCCAGCATTTGGCATGAAAGTAATAATCATAAAAGTAACAATCATTTTTCTTGCAAATTTAGACACTAGACACATTCAAAGGAAAAAGTGTGAAAGTAACAATCGTTTAACCATTAACAAAAAGTGTGAAAGTAACAATCGTTTAACCATTAACAAAAAGTGTGAAAGTAACAATCGTTTAACCATTAACAAAAAGTGTGAAAGTAACAATCGTTTAACCATTAACAAAAAGTGTGAAAGTAACAATCGTTTAACCATTAACAAAAAGTGTGAAAGTAACAATCGTTTAACCATTAACAAAAAGTGTGAAAGTAACAATCGTTTAACCATTAACAAAAAGTGTGAAAGTAACAATCGTTTAACCATTAACAAAAAGTGTGAAAGTAACAATCGTTTAACCATTAACAAAAAGTGTGAAAGTAACAATCGTTTAACCATTAACAAAAAGTGTGAAAGTAACAATCGTTTAACCATTAACAAAAAGTGTGAAAGTAACAATCGTTTAACCATTAACAAAAAGTGTGAAAGTAACAATCGTTTAACCATTAACAATAAGACTAGTAAATTTA